ATTGTGTCTTAGTCTATTATTTATTTATCTATTAGCAGATTATTGTGTCTTAGTCTATTATTTATTGATCTATTAGCAGATTATTGTGTCTTAATCTATTATTTATTGATCTATTAGCAGATTATTGTGTCTTAGTCTATTATTTATTGATCTATTAGCAGATTATTGTGTCTTAGTCTGTTATTTATTGATCTATTAGCAGATTATTCAACACTGATCATAACGTCATGGCTGATAAGGGTATTTGTAATTTAAGCCCCACACATGGGATCAGTTCAGTTATAATAAACACAAAGAAGGCAGAACAGCAGATCACGTGATGCATAAAAACAAAAAAGATAATGTTTTTTTTCTTGTCAGAAAACAGACAGCAGGGCCACTTAGCTTCCGACGCTGCTAATCACCACTACTAACATTACTAAACTATTAAAACAGTTATTAAAGCACTTAAACTAAACTGTTTAAATGTTTCAGTGTGTTCAAATCTATGATTGTGTCAAAGCTAAGACATGTTATCCTGCAGCGAAATGAAAGGTTGTAACACTTACAACAGCAGGTCGCGCTAGCTGACAACTAGGCCCAGAACCCGGCGACGCGCTTTGAGCGGGCTAACTGAGCACAAACAGTCCGAACCGAACCACAAACTCCCACTAACATTATAAACACATGAACTGATGAGCTTGGCGACTTTAATAAGCGCCCGTTGCTGATTAGCATCGACACGATGCGGCGGGACTCTCGAGCTCTTTACGGCAACAACGTTAGCCTCCCCGAAGCTTAGCTAACAGCTAGCCGCTAACAAGCACACATTCTCATTCACCTGGCCGACCCGGAGCTCTTTACTGACGGCGCTGCTGCGTTAACGGAGACCGCACCGACGGACACCGGCTTTTACAGCACTACGATCAACGATTACCGGTTTATTTCAACCGCTGTCGCGGAGAAGAAAATGAGCCCGCACGGCGCACAAAACACGTTAGTTACCTCAGCGTCATCTACTGCCGACGGACCGAAGCAGGAGGGGGCGTGGTCAGAAGCTGTCCGCGGCGCGCAGGCGCAGCTGGAGGGGGCGTGGTCATAAGCAGTAAAATGGAATTTATAACATGTTTTATTAAGAATAGAATAGAATAGAATAGAATAGAATAGAATAGAATAGAATAGAATAGAATAGAATAGAATAGAATAGAATAGAATAGAAT